ACACATGATGCCCGGTTGAGCCCTCCGACCTTGCCTTACCCTCTGGGCGCATAATGGTTCTTGCATTTTCGTGGAGTTTCGTCAATTCGCTTTCGGCAAAAAGGGCTTATAAAAAACTTTTGTAACGCACCGTTGACGTTTTGACTGCAGTCTCTTCAGTCAGACCTCAGTTTCTGTGGTTTCTATTGGTCGACGTGCTTGTACTGTGGGTGCAACCCACGGCACAAAACCCACGGGTGCAGGGTATCCATCTGGTGCAAGGCAATTTCGCGTGCAGGAGGTGAGCATCATGTGTACAAGCTATCCCTCCCCTCCAGTGTGTAAATTGAGAGAGCTTGAGCCATTCAGTCCAGCAAGATCACATTCCAAATTCCAACTACTTTTCTCCCAGTCCTGCCTGCTTCTACTCTCGACCAGCTGCTCCAAGCGCACATCGCACCACCGCCAACACATTGCAATCGACCAAGGACTGAGAGGATGAAGGGCGTCGCGTTTCTGCTTCTGCTGCACGCGTGTCTAGCTTCGCATCGCCTCGCTGCCGCAGGTAGCCGTCGCGAGCTGCAAGGTTAGCGCGCCCGCCCTGCGCGCATATATGCGAATTTTACGAGGGATTATCTATGCGAATCATACGGGCGGGACTCCTCGGAGCACATGTGGTTAACTCGCGCCCGTGCTCCCCCTCCCATTTTCCCTTTCCCCCAGCGTCGTGCCCCGCAAACGTGGTGTGTCCGACGGGCGCCTCGTGCGTGGTGGACGGCAGCGGCTACCCGTACTGCAAGTGCGCGGCGGGACAGGCCATCATCAACGGCGTGTGCGCGCCGACCGCCAGCTGGGCGGGGTCGGCACCAACGTCGTGCTCTACAACGCCGCCAACTACGCCAACTCGCCCACCACGCTCGGGCCCGCCGTGCTGCGCGGCGCCGCGCCAAACTCGAGCGCGTGCGTGAACCTGTCGGGCGCGTTCAACGGGTCGGTGGGGTCGCTGCGCATCATGTGGAACGTGAACGACGGCGTGGCGGACCACCTGGTGTGCGGCAAGCTCTTCTTCTGGGACAAACCCAACTGCTGCTGCTCCGGCTCCGGCTACCAGATCCCCGGCGGATGGTCCGCCGCCAACCCCAACAACTTCAGCTACGCCTCCACCAGCGTCAAGTGAGCCGCTCCCATCCCTCCACACGCCCGCGCGTCCTTGCGCGCCCGCCGCTCCCCTTGCTGACACTCCTCTTCCATGCTTGCCGTTGACTGCGTTGACTGACTCTGGCTGCGCTGGCTGCGTTGACTTCGTTGACTGACTCTGCGTTTGACCGCGTGCAGGACGACGAGCGGCATTATTCTGACGGCGAGGTCCATCTCGTGTCAGGCCGCCATCGCCACTAACACGTACCCCTGCGCCACCAAGACCTGCCCCGTCAACGCCACGTGCTCCGTCGTCAACGGTGCCGCCGTGTGCACGTGCAACGCTGGATACAGCATGGTTGGCGGGCAGTGCGTTGGTGAGTCGGCTTTCTGGTCCGCAGTGCTGCGCAATGCAGCGTGAGCGCCACGCAACCCGCGTCTCACTCTCTTCTGCCCTTGTGCCCCTACTTCCCCTTCTCCCCATTCTCCCCATTCTGCCAGCAACACCGACTGACCCATGCACGGGGTACACCTGTCCCGCCAACTCAGCATGCTCCAACGTCAACGGCGTTGCCACGTGCACGTGCAACACCGGATACCAGATGGTCAATGGGCAGTGCGTCGGTGAGTCAACTCCATTCAATCAATCTCCTCCCTGCGCTCCGACCCTCCCCTCTTCTCTCCTACTTTGCTTCGATCTCTTTTCATCTCTTCACCTCCACTCCCCCTCCGCTCCCTCCCCCGTCCCTCCCCCCTTGCTCTCCCCTCTCTCAAACGCCAGTGCCCGACCCGTGCACGGGGTACACCTGTCCCGCTAACTCAGCATGCTCCAACGTCAATGGCGTCGCCACGTGCACGTGCAACACCGGATACCAGATGGTCAATGGGCAGTGCGTTGGTGAGTGTTGCCGTCGATGGTGCCTCGCTGCATGTGCAATGGCGGGTGCCGCGAGCGTCGCCAATACGACGCCGTATAAGAGCACCTCTCGGCCGTTGCGATTTCCATTCCTCCCCTCTCTTCCTCGCCTCCTCTCCACGGCATCTCATACCGTCCCGTCTGCTCTCTATCCCCTTCCTTGCCTGCCCCTGCCCCTGCCCCTGCTCCTCCATGCTAATTCCCCCCCCCCTCTCTTCTCCCTCCCTCTCCCCCGCCCCTCGCCGCCTCGCAGTGCCGGACCCCTGTGCGACGGCCAACTGTCCGCTCAACTCGGTGTGCTCCAACGTCAACGGCGTCGCCACCTGCACATGCTCTGCGGGCTTCCAAATGGTCAACGGCCAGTGCGCCGGTATGCTCTCCTCCTCCCTGCTGCACCCTGCTGCTCTTTCCTGCCCTCCCCATCGTTCTTCCTCCCTTCCCCTTTTTTTCGGCATTCTCCCCCTCGTTCACTGCACCGCCCCTCCACCATTTTGAGATGTCTCCCCCTCTGCATCACGCTCTTCCCTTCCTCTCCCCCTCCCCTTTCCCTGCCATGCCCCATGTCTTCCGCCCATCCCCCGCGAGCAGCGTTGCCCCCATCGGACCCTTGCGCGAGCACCACGTGTCGGCCAACGCCAACTGCTCAGTCGTCAACGGCGCCGCCACCTGCACGTGCCTTCCCGGCTTTGACCCGGTCAACGGCGCCTGCATAGGTGAGTTGCTTTTTTCCTGCCCGTCTCTCATCGGCTCGCGTGCACCTGCTTGATTGCTTCCTCTTATTCTTTTATGCCTCTCGGAATCACACCCTTCTAGAATCTCATCCCCCCACCCCGTCCCCCCCACCCCCCCCCCCCCCCCCCCCCCCCCCCCCCCCCCCCCCCTCCCTCCCTCCCTCCCTCCCCCCTCTCCCTCCCTCTCCCCCCCGCCTTACCTTTGCTGCGCCGTTCCGCCCTTCTCATCTCCGCCCCTTCCGCCTCCTTGCATGTTTCTGCCTTGCCTCCCGTTGCCGCCCCTCCCGTCAGCGCCCGACCCCATGCGCGGGGTTCTCGTGTCCCGCCAACTCAGCATGCTCCAACGTCAATGGCGTCGCCACTTGCACGTGCAGCGCCGGCTACCAGATGACGGCCGGCCAGTGCGTGGGTGAGTCAGCGCGGACAACTCCTTCTCGCGCCCCACGCCCATGCCTTTATCTTCGAAATCGTTTTCTACTCTGCCTGCGTCTTGCTCATACCCGCATTCGCGCATTGAGCCCGTCCTCTCCCCTCACCCTGCCCTTCCAACCCCTCTTTTTCTTCCTCCCCTCCGCCCCTGTTGGTGCGTGCAGTGATCACGGACCCCTGTGCGTCTACCACGTGTCCCGCCAAGGCCACGTGCAGCAACGTGAATGGCGTGGCCACGTGTGTGTGCGCCGTGGGCTACACCCTCGTCAGCGGTGCCTGCCAGCGTACGCCCCTCTCCCTCTCCTCTCCTTGCCCTTCTGGCCCCTTCCGCCCTTCCTGCCCCACTTGCCCTCTCCCACCCGTCCCTCATTCCTCCCCTGCACTTAAAACTCCCTGGCCCCTCCTCACCCCACCTTCCCTGCTCCTCTTCCCTCCCTCCCCGTCCCCTTCCCTCTCCCCCCCACCAGCGGCTGCGCCCTGCTCGCTGGTGACATGTCCGGCCAACTGCACGTGCTCCTCCGCCAATGGCGTCTCCAAGTGTGACTGCCCTGGTCAGTGTCGCCACCCCGTCCCCCCCCTCTCTTCCCCGTCCTCCGCCCTGCGTCCTGCCCCCTCCGCCCGCCTTGATTCACTGCTTTCCTCGCTATGTGCCCACCTCCCCCACATCCACCGCCCCCCTCCACCTCCCCCTCTCCTCTTGCACCACCCCCCCTTCCCCCTCCCTGCTGCCTTCCTTGCTCAGCCGCCTCTGTACCCTTCCCCTTTCCCCCACGCCCCCCCCACTACTCGCGAGCAGACCTGTGCTACGGGGTGAAGTGCCCCGACGTGTCCACATGCACCTACATGCTCGGCGCACCCGTCTGCACGTGCCCTCCGCCCTACACGCGCCTCATCGACAACAAATGCTCCTCCGGTTCGTGCTGCTCCCCCCTTTCCCTCCTCCCCTCCTGCCCTTTTTTTTTCCATCCTCCCTACTCTTCTCCTGCCCATGCTGCCTGCTGCTCGCACTGCAGTCTTCCAAGCGTTGCTCACACCCTCTCTACCGCACGCACCTCCCTCCTTCCCGCCACTACCCCCACGCCTCGCCCCTGGGCGCCATGCAGCAACGTTGGCGAATTCGGACTATCTGGACAACCAGAATGCCGCCAGGGCCGCAGTGGGCGCCATCCCCCTCGTCTGGAACGCTTCCCGTGAGTGCCCCCCTCGCCCTCCCTCGTGCCTCTGCCTCTTGGTTTGGTCCTGTGCCTATCAACGCGCTTGCTGTGCTCCGTGCGTGCACTGGGTTGTCGCCCTCACCTCACATGCCCCCTCCGCTCCCACTGCATGCACCTCGTCCCCTCTCCTCGTCCACATCCGTCACTGCCGTTTCTCAGACCCCAATCCCCACCCCTCGCTCGTCATGTCTCAACCCCCCTCCTCGTTTCCCCCCCTCCTCGTCCCCCTCGTGCTCGTGCCAGTGGCGGCGGAGGCCCAGGCATGGGCGACAACCCTCACAAACAGCACGTACAACTGTGGGCTGTCGCACGGCGGCAACCCCGGCGAGGGGCAGAACCTGTCGGGGGGCGGGCCGGCCGGCTATTACTCGAATGGGGCGGCCGTGAGCTGGTGGGTGGGCGAGGGCGACCTCTACACGTACGCCGTCTTCTCCGGGGGCTGCAGCACCGGCAACTGGGCTGACTGCGGCCACTACACGCAGGTCATCTGGAACAACACGCGCACCGTGGGCTGTGGCAAGGCCTCGTGTGGCACGAAGGCAGATGTGTGGGCGTGCAACTACTACCCTCCCGGCAACTATGGCGGCCAGCTGCCCTATGGTGAGCATGGCTCCAATCCGTCTCTGCCCACCCACTCCCATGGCTCGCCTCTATTCCGTCCTTTGTGCCCACACCTTTCCTTTCCACCCATGCCCATCCCCACCCTCATCTCAATCTCCCTCTCCTCCATCCTTGTTCTCCTCTCTCTGTCTTCTCCCCCCCCTCTCCCTCACACCCTGCAGTGCAAGACCCGTGCTACCGGGTGGCATGCCCGTCCACGGCCACATGCACGGTGCAGTACGGGCAGCCGGTGTGTGTGTGTGGGGCGGGGCAGGTGCTGGTGAACAACGCCACGTGCCAGCCCGACCCCTGCAGCAGCGGCACCATCACGTGCCCGGGCAACCTCGTGTGTGATGGCTCTTCTGGCACTGCTCAGTGCGCCTGCCCCACCGGCCTCGTAGCCGTCAGTGCAGATACCTGCGTCCGTGAGTGGCCCTCTCTCCCCGGTCCCCTGCCTACCACCCCGCTCCCTTGGTCGCTCGTCCCTTCTGATCCTTTGCTCCACCCACCCCCTCTCCTCACACCACACCTCTCACACCTTCCCCCTCCCTCGCCCCTTTACCCTTCCCTCCCTGTTGCTTGCAGCGCCGGTGTGTGTGGGGGCGGTGTGCCCAGCGCAGGCGACATGTGCGGTGGACGGGAGTGGGTACCCGTTCTGCCAGTGCCCCACGGGGTGGTACCTGGGCAGCAACGTGTGTGTGCAGGGCACGCCCGCTGCCGTGTCAGCCACCAGCCTGGCGATCTACAACACGGCGTCCTACAGCAGCACGCCCCCCGCGTTGGGCCCCACGCTGGTGCGCACGGGGCTGCCCGCCAACTCGTCGCGGGGCAGCTGTGTGGACATCCCCGGCGGCATTGCAGCGGTGTCGCTGCGCGTGCTGTGGAACGTGCCGGACAGCATGGGGGCGCCCAAGCAGTCGTGCGGGCTGCTGTGGTTCTGGACCAGCGCCTCCTGCTACGGCTCTGCCACCGGCTACTACCGCCCTGCCGGGGACGTCACCAACTTCGCGTCAGTGCTCCACCCCCCACCCTGCCCCCACCTGTTCTTCCTTTCTCTCAATGCTAGCACCGTGCTTCCTTTCTCCCAGTGCTAGTACCATGCTATCGTTTTCCTGAGGTGCCTTTGCTCTCCCCTCTCTCTCACACGTATCGCTCTCTGCTGTGCTGTTTCCCCTCACTTGTACATGCAGCACCACATCGGGAAATGTGGCCCTCGTCAAGGCCATTGCCTGCGCCATGTGATCTCACCTCCTCCTCCTGCCATGCTGCACGCGTGGCACCACACAGCGGCCTTTGCCCTGGTCAAGTGCTGATCGGCCTGCTGAGGCACCTCATTTGTACCATATGTGATTCATTCATTTGATCCATCTAGTTGTGTTGCCCAGCTTCATTTTTGTGACGGCTCATGTGTATAGCTTGGTAATCAAGGAGTACTGAACATTCATGTTTTCAGATGGATGTGCAAGTGGGTGTAGTTTACCGTGACTGAGCACACGGTACAGTAACTCTCTGAAGCATCTGTGATAAGAAAAGATAAGAGGAATGGTAAACATACTACCAGTGTCATTTTGGGCAAATGAGGCAGAGAAGGGCAGAGGCACACAGAGGGGCAGGTGAGGCACACAGAGGGGTGAGGCACACAGAGGGGTGAGGCACACAGAGGGGTGAGGCACACAGAGGGGTGAGGCACACAGAGGGGTGAGGCACACAGAGGGGTGAGGCACACAGAGGGGTGAGGCACACATAGGGGTGAGGCACACATAGGGGCAGGTGAGGCACACAAAGGGGCATGCAATGCACAAGAGGTTAGCTTTAATCAATCAGGGTATGCAAATTTATCTAGAGTTCCTTATTTCTCAGTGGGGCCAAATGAACCAGTGGGGCAGGGCAGTAAGAGACCACACCTACCGTATTTAACCATCCACCTCGTCCTCCGGATGGTCGCCCCACAAACCAGCTGTTGTATACCGTCCCATGCCCCCACCCACGCCAAGGCATGTCATCAGAGGTCTTAAAGTAGCTTAGAGTTGTCGAAACATGTTTTACATCCTTTATAACTACTTGTAAATGTAGTGTAGTTATTATGTTTTGTAAGTGGTGCACCAATTCCTTTTGCTTTCCTTGTATAAGTCTCAAAACTTTCTAATGCAATTATCTCTCTTCTTTTCTTAACTTCTAGCCATGGCTCCTTTGGTTCCTAACCCAGCCTAGGGCTGTTTCAACATGTTATCAGAGCAGGCTCGTTCCCAGATCCTTTCTCATTGGACCCCACCGTCAGCTTCCGCAAATGCGCCTCTTTCCTGCTCGTCGCGCGCCCCGGGCGCGCGTCGGTTTCCTGCCCGTTGCGCGCCCCGAGCGTGCGGCTGTTTCTGCCCGTCGCGCGCCCCGAGCGTGCGGCGGTTTCTGCCCATCGTGCGCCCCAAGCGCGCGGCAGTTTCTGCTCGTCGCGCGCTCCGGGCGCGCGTCAGTTTTCTGCCCGTCGCGCGCCCCGAACGTGCGGCGGTTTCTGCCCGTCGCCAGCCCCGCGCACGCTCGTTGGGGGGAAGGGGGTGTGTTGGGGGTGGTGGCCGTGAGTGGGGGTGATGAGGGTGGATACATCCGCGGCTCCTGCCACTTATGCTGCTCGTGCAACCGAGGAGGGGTAGGGGGGAGGGTGTGGGGGGTGGCAGGGGTGACCAGCCAGCAGCCGTCCCTCCACCTCTTCTCTCTTCCCCCCTGCTGCTCCTACTGCAGTGGGGTGGGGGGGGGGCGGGGGGAGTGGGGGGGGGGTGAGGGGGGGGACGGAAGGAGTGCGGTTCCGGGTGGCGGCTGAACAAAGGGGGGTGAGGTTTAGGGGATGGCTGAAAGAGGGGGTGGACTTGGGGGTTCGTAACAGGGGCTCGCCGCACTTGGCTCCCCCCCACCTCCTCTCCTCCCTCTCTCACCCTCCCCCCTTTGTAAAAACGGGGTTCGTAAGAGGGGCTCGCCGCGCTTGGCTCCCCCCCACCTCCTCTCCTCATCACTCTCTCTCACCTCCTCCTTGGTACTTCTCTTCTTCCGCTGCGCACTCTGCATGGTGTACCCATTCAAGGGGCGTAACTACACTTTTTCCTACAAGCAATTACGGGGGCGTGTCAAAACATATTTTACATCTTTTGTTGTCAGTAGAGCTACACTGTGAGATCCCCGATCGATCCTAGGGGGGGTTACAGGCGCGTTTTCCTGGGGGGTTATGGGTGCTCTGACCCGCTACTGAAACAAGCCTTTTTATCCCAATGGTCTAGTGGTTGGGATTCTGACATGGTAACAGAGCGGTCTCGGGTTCGAATCCCTGTGTATGCACATGTAGGCCGTTGCCACTGTGCTCAGTCCTGGGCCTCCCAGTGTGGGGGGGGGTGTCAGTAGAGCTACACTGTGAGATCCGCGATCGATCCTAGGGGGGGTTACAGACGCGTTTGCCTCGGGGGTTATGGGCGCACTGACCCGCTACTGAAAAAAAAACCCTTTTATCCCAATGGTCTAGTGGTTGGGATTCTGACATTTGTAACTGCTTGTAGTTGTAGTGTAGTTATTATGTTTTGTAAGTGGTGCACCAGTTCGTTTTGCTTTCCTTGTATAAATCTCGTAACTTCCTAATGCAATCATCTCTCTTTTTTTCTTAACTTCTAGCCATGGCTCATTTGGTTCCTAACCTAGCCTAGGGCTATTTCAACAAGAGTAGCTTAGAGCAGCTTAGTGAAATGTCGAGTGGATGGAAACAAGGAGATACAAGTGTGTGTCTAGAAACTGTTGTACCCTTTAAAGGGCAACGCACTCTAGCCTAGACTAACTAACAATATATAAATGATAGAAACATTTGACACAAGTACAACAAGCAAAAAGAAACAATGCTACAGCAACCTAGCACCAGTATCAACAAGGCCTAACTGCAGACAGAACCTGTGGTGGTCACTAGGCGCTAGGGCCTTGGTGAAAATTTCTGTTGTGTTGACCGCTGAGGCTACGAAGTCCAACCGAGCCTGGCCGCGTCCCTGCAACTCTTGTAGGAGAAAATACTTTATGTCGATGTGCTTCACTCTACCCTCCAGTCGAGGCTCTCGACAAAGGAGGATCATAGCCTTGTTGTCAGCGAACAAGGTCAGTGCAGAGCGAGGCCGCTCACCAAGGTCAGTGAGTAAGAAAGTCAACCAATGAAGCTCCTGCGCAGCCATGGCACCAGCGTAGATCTCTGCCTCTGCACTGGACTGTGCCACATACGACGACCTAGTAGACCTACACGACATAGCTCCAACACCCAAACGGAAAAAGTACCCCTGAGTAGACCGCTGGGTCTCCACGTCGTCGGTGTACGAAGAGTCGCAGTGACCGGTCAGCACAACCGGCTGTGTCCCTCCAAGCACAAGCCCCACGCCTGATGTAGTCGCCAGGTACTTCGCCACTCTCACAGCAGCTGTCCAGTGAACAGGACGGTGTCTCCCAATCGCAACAAATCGAGAGAGGATGCTGAGGGGAAAGGCGAGGTCCGGACGAGGACAAGTCATCAGGTACATGAGGCAGCCCACAAGCTCTACGTAGGGACCACTAGACTCAAATGACTCGTTGGGAAAAGAGCCGATGAGTCTGTGGTCGACAACAAGAGGAGTGGGCTGTATGGTGGAGAACTGAAGCCCGAACTGGTGAAGAACATGCTGCACCACGTGTGACTTTGAGAGCATAATGGTGTGAGCAGCTTTGTCCCTGGTGATCTGCAAGCCAAGGTAGTGGCGCAGTTCACCCAGGTCAGTGCACGTGTGTCTCTTCTGTAGTTCGGACTTCACCTAAGCGAGATCAACCCTGTTTGCTACAGCGAAAACCAAGTTGTCGACGTAGACAAGGAAAAATAAAGGAGTGGAGCCTCTGCGAACAAACAACGACGGGTCAGCGGACGAAGGGAGAAAACCGAGGTCAGCCAAAGTGGTGTATAGCATGTCTTGCCACTCACGGGGTGCCTGGCAAAGACCTTAGACTGGTCGTCTTAGGCTCCACTGGGTCCAAGGAGGGAAAGTGTCAATGAAGCGAGGAAGACGTCGCAGGCAGATCTCCTCGTGTAGGCGGCCCTAGAGAAAGGCAGTGTAGAAGTCGAGGGAGTGCAGCTCGTAGTCTTGCAGTGCTGCTACGTGAAGTAACACCCGAAGAGTTGTCATTTTCGGGGTCGGAGCGAAGGTTTGAAAGAAGTCAACTCCCTCACGCTGACTAAAGCCTCTGGCCACGTAGCGCGCCTTGAAAATGCGCGGTGATCCAGGCGGCCGCTTCACCTTGAAGATCTGGCACTTTCCCTCCTTGAAACTAGTGGAGCCTGAGACGACCAGTCTACGAACCTCCAGGCCCTAGAAATCAGCTTGAGAATGACCACGAGAGGCGATTTCTCGATGTTGCCTGCACGACGAAGAAACGGAAGGGGAGAACAGGTTAAAACCTTAGGGCGGGGGAAACCTAGGAACTCACGGATGGTTTAGGTACCGTGATGCTCTTAATGCTGCTAGGGCTACCGTGACACCTAGGGTTGCTGTCAATTTGTTTATGCCCTCTTGCTCGAACCAGGCCTGATACTGCTGTCGCACCGATACCTTGGAGCTTTTGTTGGTGGCCACATCGAGGGGCTGCACCTCTGCCATGCATCCCGCTGGGATGACTGCGGGGACGATGTTGTACTGCACTAACTTCTTCTTGACTTCTTTCATAAGGTGACCTTGGTAGGAGTCGAGGACGAGCAAAGCGCTACGCCCCTGCATGCCAAACTTCGGCTTGATGTAGCGATTGTTGATCTCATAATCATGCCGTGCTTCACGTACGAACGTCCAGAACTCCTTGCACTGTTTCTCCACGTGCGGAAGGGGATGAAAGGACAAGGCAGAAGGAGGATTAGTAACACGATCCACATATAGAGTATAACGCAATCAAAACAAGACCACAAAGCGAATTCCATGAGTTTCAAAGAAATCATGGCACTTACGTTGCTGGGTTTTCTTTGCCACCTTGGTTTTCATGTGCACGCTGAGTTTCCAGCGCTCTGACCATCGCCGACTCCCTTACCACTTTACTTCCGGGAAGAGAACTTTCATCACCTCGCGCGACC